ACTACTGATTCTTCTTCACTATTCCCAACTTTTGCATTCCAGTCACCCATTATTATCAATGCATCTTGATTGCATGTTCGATCTATCTCTGATTTGTTCTTCTTTGGCTCTGGTTGTTGGTGCATATATCTGAATGATTGTGGTATTTACTGGGCCTCCTTGTAAGCGTATGGATATAATCCTGTCACTTGCAATTAGACGGGTTTATTTTTTTTCCTATTGTGATTTGAATGGGAGTTTACAAAGAAACTGGCTTTTCATTCGTTTATACAGATTTATTTCCCCTTTTCTCCCCCTTCATTCTCTTATGCATGTCTTTTTAATTAGGAGGGAAAGGACAGGCATTGGATTTGAGTTGTTATTTTAATTGTGAAGAAGATGGGTGTATTTTTTTACTTTTCATATTTTTAAACCTAATTGAGAGTATTCAGACATGTTTATTTCTCTAAAAGCAGAACACTAGTCACCAAAATATATATCAACATAAATGAAAAATATTTTAGTACTATTCTACAGTGTAAATACATACAGCATTTAAAACAAATTAATTACATTTGGTAATATGCCAAAAGCACAATCATATTCATTAAAAATAAACTGTAAACAAGTTTACAGAGTTCTGGCTACTTAGTGCATAAGGAGTTGAGCTGTCACCTCAAAGGCAGGCAGTTCTAATCCAACCAGCTGCTGCTCAGGAGAAAGACAGTATCCTGAATGATTTACAGCCTCTGAAAATCCACTTGAGGATCACCTGCGAGTCGGCTCTGACCTCACAGCGCAAAACAACATTAAGAAGTTTAATATAAGATGCGTATTTCTAAATTATATAAGATGTATAATATATCCAATTCATAATATATTTAACATATAAACTATACGACATTGTCTGTGAATGCCACTGTCAATTTCGTAGAGCAAGTAAATAAATAATGATAATCTTACAGAAATTTTTTTTTTCAGAATTCTTTAAAATTAGTTTTTCTTTTTTGCCATCCTCAGAACATAGGTATATTGAACTGTTCCTGAATTCATGTCCAAAAGGAAAATAAGACTTCCAGGGACTCCATTAAAAGGTAAATTTAAGAGGTACATATGTACAAATTGTTTCCAATTGATAAATTATTAATCTTTAATTCAGTAATTAAGGATTGAAATCAGGATATTAACAACATAGAAATCATTCTGTTTTATAGAGATTAACATAACTGAAACTTCATTATAATGGATGAAAACTCACCTGGGAAGTAGCTTTTAGTATGATTATATGGTGTTTTAGAACATACCAGAATCCTTTTGTATCATTCTCAACATTCATCATCCTACATGTGTGATAATGTGCTAAATTGGTGCTTCATATTAGATTTTCCTCCGTTAAATTTGAATTACGTAATTTTTCCCCTCTTAGATACATTAAAATGATAAACTTGAAATCCAGTATTTTCTTAAAATAGTATTTAGAAAATGGTTTGTCCTAGAAGTATGTAGTTTCATATTGTTAACTGCAGATTTGCTAAATGGGTTTTAATGTCCCTTCCCTTAACTTTAATGATGTATGTATATTTTTTTTCCTGTTGCGTTTCATTGTAATTCTTTTCTTCATCTGGTGGTACATTCCTTTGAGATACTTAACTAATGATTTCTTTATTGAAAACATGGGAACATTCCATTACTGTTGTCAGGTTGTAGGCTATTTTTGGATATGAGAAGTTTATAAAACCCAAAGTTTTGTGATTTTAAATATTTATATAATACTTAAGACCTATTTGAAATACATTCTGTGCTCAACTCCGAAAATCCATTATCTTCATACTATATACAAACACTAAAGTATAATTAATTTTCCTTGTCTTAGTTTAACTGATAGGAGAGGTCTGGTGACCTGGTGGTAAGAAACAACTTGCAGTGCTAGAGGCATACAGTTAGAATCCACCAGCTGTTCTGTGGGAGAAGGATGGGCAGTCTCCTGTGTGATTTATTGCCTCTGAAAACCCACTGGAGGGTGTTATGGCTCAGTTCCGACTCTGCAGCACACAACAGCAGCAGCAGTTTAATTGATATGTTATATAACTGCATTAAATCAGAAAGAAAACAATAGTAAATTTATCACATAGTTAACTGGTAGTCTTTTGTTGCTTGCATGTTTTGAGCACCTACCTATTTTCTTTGTTGTCAGGATGAAGCAAGAAGCATTTCATTTGCACATCTTCCTTGGACATGGGATACAAAGTTCCAGTTTATTAGCAGCAACTGCTTGAAGAAAGGACTTTGGGTATTTGGTATATTACATCTAAGAGAAATATCATAATGGACTGTTTAGAAAAGGAAAGAAGAGATTCTGTTTGAGATTATGAAATAAACCACAAATACAATTTTTGTTTAAACTGCCTAGGATCTGATTAAAACTTCTGGTCTTTATTTTATGTGATGAGTTTGTTTTCATGAGGGGGGAATTACTTAGAAACTACATATTTTTATTCAGCACTGTCCTTTAAAAGCCTCCTTCCATTTAAAAAATAATCTGTTCACAGTTTTGTTGTTTACCTATAAATTGAGAACTCTGGTATAAAATTCTTGATATGAAGATGCTCATGGAATA